GAGTGCATGCGCCCTATAGCAAAAACCTCTCCAAAAATGAATAAATAAATAAATAAATAAATAAATAAATAAATAAACAAACTCTCAAACTTGGACCAGCCCAGTAAGACTTCCTGCTGCAATCCAGGTTCCTTACCTTTTCTTATGTCTTTCGTGACATCACAGCCAGTTGAATTGCACATTGTGTTCACGGTGGTGCTGGGGCCAGCTAAGCCACACACAGTGTCTGCTGTGGCATTGCACTTCTGGAGGGTGACCTGCCCTTTGGGGCACCTAGGGGGAGAGACATCCATGGTATTCCTTCCCCACCTGCCAAGGCCCTCTGGGATACCATCATCACCAAAGATGGTGTCTGGGGCCATTTCCCAGCACCTGGAAGGGGCCTGACATGCAGCAGAGGTGCGTCCACCAACCCACATTTGGGGACAACTGCATGGTGTGATCACAGACCACCATGAAGGGTGCAGGGTACATGGAAAGCCACACAATGTCACCACCCCAGCTCGTCCTCTCAGATGGCATCCCTGTGATTCTAACTAAGCACAGGGAAGTTTACATGTCTTCCTCCTCTATGTATAGCCCAGTTGGTTGGCCCATGGACTGAAGAAATTAAGAAATTTGCTCTGCTTTTAGCAAAGGCGCAGGGATTCTGGCTCAATTCTTCCTAACTGCTACAAGTTACAGACTTAGCAGTCATGTTTGTTCATCTTAGTAATTTTACAGTAACAGGCCTGAACCAACGAGGAATTTATCCATTTGCTAATTGACCTCACAGCTGTCAAACTCTCTGCATCTAACAAAAGGTAACAACCATGGATTTCTGTAAAAATCATGTAACTCATTCCAGGTTTTCTGATGTAATCTGGGTTTCTTACCTTTTCATGGCAATAAGTGAATCTTATTACTACACCTCAAACTCCAGATTAACAAAGCAGAAAACACCGGGGAAATCTCCAGGCTACACATCCTTCAAGGAACCTATAACTCTGCCTGGTCTGTCACTGTTTACTTTTGATTGAAATCAGGCTTGAGACATTACTGAGAAGAGTCCTGGGTCTCCCAAGCTAAAATATAACAATCCTGGGTGAAGCATTTGGCTAGTTTGTTAGCAACTCTGGACACCAGAGGACCCTGTTTGGAAGCTTCTGTAATTCTGAGAGAACACTTCCCCAGCCAAAATTCTGCACTTAGCCAGTCTGGAATGTGAGGAAGGCCTATGTAACAGCAATGATGTGCATTGTACACCGTGCTTCCCTTCCTTGGGTGTTGGGTACAGATATGTTTCGGCAGAAACGAAGGAGACAACTTGAGAAAGAAGAAGGCAGTGGGCAGAACCCATGAGGATGGGAAAGGGAGGTCCAGGACAAGCAGGTAGCAGACCATCAGAGCAGTGAGCCAGATGGGATGGAGGAGGGATAGTGGGCCATGGAAACCTGGATGAAGTGAGACATGAAAGAGGCAGTGATGCGTTACAAAGGGAAAGGCCAACCAGAAAGTTCTAGAGAAAGAAAAAGAACTACAAAGAATAGAATTAATGCTAATAAAAAATATTTTTGCAAATAAGATGCACTTTTGCATAGAAAGACACATCATGGCCTTTCGGACAGCCCAGTAGCCTGGGAGGCGGCGAGATGCTATGGACTTGCGGAGACATAAACAAGAAGCAATAAGCTGGATGGGGACTGTCTCTCTGGGCTCAGATGGACTGTACTGGCCCAGTTGTAAGTCAGGGTCCTGCCGGCTCTCAGCTCATGAAGAATAATCCCCACACAGGCCCAGTCCAAGGCCGTCTCCAACCCGTGCCCAAGGCACCTGTGCAGAGTGGCACCTACTTGCTGCATGGGTTGCAGAGCTCCAAGGACCCTGGATGGTAGAAATGGCCCGCTCTGCACTGGCACTTCCGGTTGCTGACTGAAGAGCACTCTGCCACCATTTCTTCCTCTGCAGGCCAGAGAAGACCAGGGTCAGCCCAAGGTAGATCACTCATCCTCATACGTACCTGTGGACCTGTATCCACACTTGAAACAGGAACATGGCATACCTGTCTCTGCATGGGATGTAACCAGCCACAGCAAGTGCGCCAAGAGGGTCTCAAGTGCGGAAGACTGCAATCAGCATGGCTACGAGCATCCTCTCACACTTGTCTCCAGGTTAAATACCTAGATCTGGAGACTGGCTCAAAAGGTTTGCATGTTTGACAGTTGTTTTTTCTTCTTGGCTAGAGAGCAAGTGTGTGCACCAGAGAGAGAGAGAGGGAGAGGAGAAAGTGCTCCCCCATGGAAAACGGTCATGCTGTAGTCCCTCCTCTTCTATCTCTTCCTCCCTTTGGGATGTTGGGCATGCGCACGGGTCCAGTGTGTTTCTCAAGCCGCCAAGTCCAGGACTCAAACAGTGCAGCTGGCCCTGTGGCATCTGGCTGCTCTATCCACCAGGCTATGAAGCCGACCATATTCAACATTTTGAACTAGTCTCAAACCGTCCCCATAGTTCACTATTAGTTGTAGTCTTGATTTGTCCCCGACAAGGGACTTGCTCCTGGACATTACGTCTCCAGGCCCCTGGCACATCTAGTCCTCTCTGTCAGCCTGCTTAATATTTAATCTGCTCATTGATTTGCTCTGTGAAAACTCCTAGTGAATACGAACTTCCTTTTTTTTTTGGAGAGGTTTTTGCTATAGGGCGCGTGCGCTAGCCAGAAACACAGAGAGAGACAGAGAGATAGAAAGCGAGAAATCACCCCCAGGGGGGGATGGCCACGCCTCAATCCCTTCTCCTCCATTCTCCTCTCGAGATCTTGGGCATGCACGCACATGCGCCTGGCGTGAGTTTAAGCCACCGGGTCCAGGACTTGAACTGCAGCCGACTACGTGGGAGTCCAGCAACATAGCCATTACGCCAACTGCTGGTCCCCCATGAACTTCTTTTTATGCATTTAAAGGTACTCTTTGTAAATGGTCAGTAGTAGTTCCCTAGGCTCAGAGTATCCACCTTTTAAAAATAACTTGCCAGGGGCCAGGACTTTAAGGCGGCTGGATCCCACATGGCCAACTACATGGTTTGAGTCCCAGACCCAGTGGCTTGAAAAACACACTGGGTGCATGTACACATGTACTCAAAATTCTGAGAGAAGAATGGAAGAGAAGGGATTGTGGCATGGCCATCCTCCCCTGGGGAATAATTTCTCACTTTCCCCTCATTCTCCCTTTTTCTGTCTTTGTTTAAGTACACGTAATGCGTAGCAAACTAAAAAAAGAAAAAAATTCATTTGCCAGACATCTCATAATTGAGACTGTAACTTTGTGGCTTACAAAAAAATAATGAAATTGTTTTCCTATTGGGTTGTTCACCTTTCAACTTCATTTGTGGACCTCAGCGCAAATATGAACATTGAAATTTTACATGTTATGCATTGTTGCTCTGAGGTTAAGCAACTGCTGTCTGACTTTGTGACAGAATTCAGCCTCAGTTTTCCACAATGGGATGTTGAGGGAGCAGAGTACTTGGCCCCATCCTTTGCAGACATAGTATCTGCTTCCCAAGAAAAAATTAGATCACAGTAAATTTGAATATGGGTTGGACTTAGATGATATTCAGGAATCACTGTAATTTTCCTGGATGTAATCACAGCATTGTGGTCCTGTAAAACAATGTCTTTATTCTTAGAGAATGCATCATGCAGGGGACAGCAGGCAGCATGGTGGTTGGGGCACTGGACTTTCTCATGGCTAACTGCAGTTCAAGTCCCAGACCTGGTGGCTTTCTCTCTTTCTCTGATGGCTAGAGCAAATTAAAAATTAATTAATTAATTAATTAACGAGAGAAAGAAGAAAATGCATGATGCAGTGTTTAGGAGTGAAATATCTTCAAAATAGCTCACCAACTTGCACACACACACACTCGCACACCTGGTAAAATGTGAGCAATTATTTCATCTTAGGAAGAAAATCTATTGGTACACACTATTCTGTTCTTTCACCTTTCCTACAAATTTGAAAACTTTCATAAATAAAAAAAATTCCTTATTATTTGAGGGTCGAATTTTATCTTTTTGCTCTTATTGTGGATGCTTTTCTATGTTTTCTGGATTGACTTTAATAATTTGCAATTAGAATAAATGGTTTAAAAATAAGTTGCTTTGGGGTCGGGAGGCAGCATGGTGCTTAAGGCACTGAACTCCCACATGGTTAACCTTGGTTCAATTCCTGGACCTTGTGGCTTGCTTTTTCCCCTTTGCTTCTCTCTGCCATTCTTTGGTCAAATTAAAAAATAACCATAATAAATAATAATAAAGAATTCTTTTTTATTTTTTCAAATAATTATTTTGTATTTAACTTTATTCTTTATTATTATTATTATTATTATTATTATTATTATTATTATTCAGTTTGACCAGCCAGAAAGAGAGAGTGAATGAGAAAGCAAGCCACCAGGTTCTGGACTTGAACCATAATTGGCTATGTGAGAGTGTCCAGCGCCTTAACCACCACGCCACTTGGTGGTCCCTCAAAATAATTCTTAAAAAAAAATAAGTTATTTTAAATTTTGGATCAGACTGGAATGACTGTTTCTTATTTTGAGAAAATATCAGGGACAATGATTAAGCCAATACAAATGTTCCGCCACTTTCCAGCAAGTGCTGAGCACTGTGTTTTGTGATCGCTATCTTTTCTTTCTTTGTTTTATTAAAAAAAAAATTGTTTTTAATTTGGCTGAGGGTTTGTGCACTCACCAGAGACAGACAGATATGCGGACAGAGAGAGAGGAAGGAAGTCTCCCCCCCATGGGATGTGGTCACTCCACCATCCTTATTCTTTCGTTCTCTTCTGTTGGGCATTTTGAGCATTCACACACACACGCCTGGCGTGTTTATCAAGCTGCTGGGGCCAGGGTGCAAACTGTGGTCAGCCCTGTGGGTTCTGCTCCCTTAGCCATTGGCTATGGGGTTGGGATGACCCACAGTGCTTTTTCTTACCAGATGCTGGATTCACGGGCACTTGGCTTCTTCCTAAGTTTTCAGTTAAATAGACAACATCTTTATGCCTACATAGTTAGGCTCAATTTTACTGACTTCCTTGGAACACATTCCTAGGTTGGGCACTGTGTGTGGGTCAAGCGGCCACAGGTTTCAAGGTCAAGAAAGGTGCCCTCCCTGCAGACTCACCATCGCGGCAGACAGAGCATGGCAGGCAGGCGTCCAGGCCGTTGGGGAACGCTGTGAAGGTCTGTTCGTCACACTTGACACACTTCCCCTGGGTGTGGGGGCTCACACAGGGCTTGCCAACGTACTCGCCTATGCAAGAGGTTGGGTACAGGTCAGATCCTTCACCAGGGCACACCTGTGCTCCATCTACCCAGCCCAGCCCCAGGAGGCTCGTCCTCAAATCTGTAAACAGAAATACTTACGTCGTGCAGTTCAGGATCAAAGTGATCTCTGGACTGTTAGAATTCCCTAACCTTTCGACTAGACGGAAACTGCTTTAGCAGCTGCCCAGAGCTCTGGCTACCTGTGCTGCGTTTGCTCCTCCGAACAGCCAGGCCATGGGACACGACAGAAATCACAAGTGTCCTCTGACATCAGACATGAGGCTTGGAGTGGGCGAGCAGTTGGTATGTGGAAAAAGAGCTTTTCTGCTTCTCCAGCCAGAGTTCAGCGTGTACCCACTCCAGCAGAGAAAACCGGAAATAAATGGTTCATGAACTTTCCACATTTTCCTGCATAAGTCATTTTCCTGGCTTCCTCTGAAGGGATCAAGATCCAACACGAAGGAACACATGTTCCATTCGGAGCTCATCAACACTGCACTTGAACAGCACAGGCGTCCATGGGCATGATTCCTAGGGGCAGGCCAGCTGGTTCCTCTAGAAGTTTTTCCCTGGGACCGTGTCCGACCTTATAAGCCCCCCATCAGGCTCCTTACCCTGCTGCAATGGTAGAAGACTTTTCACGTTACCGGGTATGTATTTACCTGATTTTGATTGCACAGGGGAACAATGAACAAGAAAGCAAACATCAAAGTGCACATCGGACAGTGGGACTGTCTGTGTTCAGATTCCACCAGTGTTTTGGCATTCCATGCCATTCCCTGGTATGGAAAACGAACGGGGCATCTCCATCTCCAGCGGATGTCTAAGGCTCCTGGGGTGGTCCAGGAAAGCCACGGTCCTCGAGTCCTGGTACACATTTGCTATAAAGTGCCTACAGTGAGTTTTTGGTTCTTGGCGCCAACTCTGGTCAAGCTGGCAGAGTGGCGGCTGGGTCTACTACTCATATTCTCCGTTTTTTTTTTTTTTTTTTAAATTTATTTTAAAGAGAGATGTTTGCTATAGGATGCACATGCTCACCAGAGAGACAGAAAGTGAGAAGTCACCCCCTGGGTGTTGGCCACACCACAATCCCTTCTCTAGTCTCCTCCCAGGATCTTGGACATGCATGCACATGCACCCCACATGAGTTTCAAGCCACCGGGCTTGGGACTGAACTGGGGTCAACTATGTGGGAGTCCAGCAGCATAACCGTTATGCCATCTGCTGGTCCCATACTCTATGGTTTTGAACACTATCATGAAGCTGCTTGGCTGCTTGGTTCACACTTGTGTACCAAGCAGGTTCACAGATCTTCCTTCCATTGGCTAGAACTTCCAAACACTGGGGGCCAGCAGGTGGCAGAGAGGTTAAGACGCTGAACTCCCACATGGCCAACTGTGGTTCGAATCTTGGACCTGGCAGCTTGAAACTCATGCTGGTGCGTGTGCGTGCATGCCCCAAAATCCTGAGAGGAGAATGGAGGGGAATGGATTGTGCTGTGGCCATCTACTAGGGGAGGGGGAGGTGTTTCTCACTTTCTTCTCTCTGTCTCTCTGTAGGCACACACACTCTATAGCAAAAATCTCTCCAAAAAAGAAAAAAAAAAGGCAAAAGAATTTTCAAAGACTATTACTTTACTTTGATGACTAGTAAGCCTCACATGTGCATGTCATTTTATCTGTTCTTTGTTTGGCCAAAGAGGCTTTCTGGGGGTTAGCAGATGGTACACACTGCATGGTTCAAGTCCCAGATCCGGAGACTTGAAAAACACACAGGGTGTGTGTGCACATGTGCCCAAAATCCTGAGAGAAGACTGGAGGAGGAGGGATTGTGGTGTGACCACCCCTGCTGGGGGATGATTTCCCACTTTCTCTTTATCTCTCTAGGGAGCACAAGTGCCCTTTAGCAAAACTTAGAAAAGCTTTCTGATCTCTAAGCATCTGTCTGGAAAATATCAGAAATGGTCTCTCCAAACTTCTGAATGACCTTAGGAACAATTTTTTTTTTTTTTGGAGAGGTTTTTGCCATAGGGCGTGTGCGCTCGCCAGGAAGACAGACAGAGACAGAGAGACAGAAAGCGAGAAATCACCCCCCAGAGGGGATGGCCACGCTGCAATCCTTTCTCCTCCATTCTCCTCTCGGGATCTTGGGCACAGGCACACACGTACCCAGCGTGACTTTAAGACGCTGGATCTGGGATTCGAACCGCAGTCGACTACATGGGAGTCCAGTGACATAGCCATTATGCTAACTGCTGGTCCCAGGAACATCTTTTGACATTATTTTCTCCATTCCTAGCATTCTTCATAGTACTACTAACATTTTATGGTTCTACAAATAGTAGTCGATGTACCCAACAAAGAAATGTTCAGAAGAGGGGTCAACCTGTGGCGTGGTGGTTAAGGCGGCTGGATCCCACATGGCTGACTGTGAGGTTTGAGCCCCAGACCTGGTGCCTTAAGAAATACGCTGGCAGCACATGTGCACATGTGCCCAAAACCCTGAAAGGAGAAATGGAGGGGAAGGGATGGTGCCCTGCGTGTGTGTGGGGAGGTGCCTTCTCACTTTCCCTCTCTCTCCAGTGAGTGCACACGCCCTCTGGCAAAATTAAAAACAAAACAAAAAGCTATTCAGAAGAGTTTAAGCTGTACATGGCAGCAGCCACTGTACTCATAGGAGGCATTGTGAGGGATTAAATAAGGGACTCCTAGCTTTGTTGCTCTCAGGACAAGATTGCTGTGACACAGCCCAAGATCGATCCCTCCCCAACAAGGCAGGCAACACCCATGGGGTCAACCATGGTTTGAGTCCTGGACCTGGTGACTTAACACTCATGTTGGGTGTGCATGCGTGTGTCCAAAATCCCAACAGGAGAATGGACAAAAGGGAATTGCAGGGAACCAGCAGTTAGCGTAATGGCTATGTTGCTGGACTCCCATGTAGTCGACCGCGGTTCGTGTCCCGGACCTGGTGGCTTGAAACTCACGCCGGGCGCATGTGCGTCCGTGCCCAAGATCCCGAGAGGAGAATGGAGGAGAAGGGATTGTGGTGTGACCATCCCCCCTGGGGGGTGATTTCTCGCTTTCTGTCTCTATGTCTCTCTCTGTCTGTCTGGCGAGCGCATGTGCTCTGTAGCAAAAAACAAACAAACAAACAAACAAACAAAAAACTCTCCAAAAAAAAAAAAAAAAAAGGCCCTCTTTCTGTCGTTGTCCTCAGCCTTCTTAGTAGCTGGGACAGTAGTGTGGCTCCGGCACTTGGCTTTTTAGGGGCTTGGTATCAAACCTGGATCTCCCTTTAAAAAAAAAAAAAAAAAGATCTTGGGCATGCATACGCACGCGCCTGGCATGATTTTCCTTTTCTTTTCTTCTCCCCCCCCTCCAGGGTTTTTGTCTTAGTGCACATGTAGTAGCTGGAGAGAGACAGAGACAGTGAGAAGGAAAGTGAGAAATCACCCCCCACCCCGAGGAGGGCCACACCACAATCCCTTCCTCTCCATCTCCTGCTGGGATCTGGGATCTTGGACATGCACACACACGCACCTGGCCTGATTTTTCAAGGTCTGGGACTTGAATCGTGGTTGGCCATGTGGGAATCCAGTGACATAAATGCTATGGCATCTGCTGGCCTCAATGCATTTTTTAAAAATGAGCGTTTTGGAGATCCCTCATGTACTGAGAGCTGTGGGCCAGTGCAGACAGTCTATGCTGCAGGGTGATCCGTGGGGAATGTGCATGGCTCACCTGGGCCCCGGGCCGCACTGAGCGACTAAGGTCAGCAGAGTGGGAACTCTCTGCCCACGTGGCCAACGCCCACTGCGCCCTGCACACCGAGGCTTAGTGAGTTTCTGTGTTGGGCAGTGCTCCATCGCTCTGTCCCACGTCATAGCTGGACTGACCATGGACCCCACTGGGAGAGGACAGGTGGAAGTTGGTGCATGGTGTCTCCTGGACTCTGCCCCATGCATCTTCTCCTAACTTTGCTGACTTTACCCTTTCACTGTAAGGAATGTTTAATTGACAACAACAGCTTTTCTGGATCCGACGAGTCTTCTCAAGAATCCTCTTGGAGACCCTGGTGTAGGAACATATCCTTTGCTGTCGGAGAATATTAGGACAAGATAGTTTAGGCCTGGTGCCGCTGCTAAAAATGCTATGGTTGGAGGGGACCAGCAGTTGGTATAATGGCTATGTCGCTGGAATCCCATGTAGTCAACCGTGGTTCAAGTCCTGGACCCAGTGGCTTAAACTCATGCTGGGGGTGTGTGTGTGTACGTTCCTAAGATCCTGAGAGGAGAATGGAGGAGAAGGGATTGTGGCATCCCCTCTGGGGGTGATTTCTCACTTTCTGTCTCTCTGTCTTTCTAGTGAGTGCATGCGCCCTATAGCAAAAGCCTAAAAAAAAAAAAAAAAAAGGTATGGTTTGGGCCAATAGGTGGCATGGTGATTGGGGGCGCTGGACTCCCACATAGTAAATTGTGAATGAGTGCCAGGCCTGGCAGCTTGCTTTCTCGCTTTCCCTTTCTCTCTTTCTTTGGTCAAATTAAAATAATAATGATAACACATGGAATTAAATAAATAATTCTTTAAAAAAAACAAAAGGGTACGGCCTTGAGCAAGCTACCTAACCCTGCTGGGCTCCATTTCTTCACCTGCCAGAGGAGGTTCCAGGCAGATGCAGAAGGTACTGGGAGGGTATGTGTCTGTTTTGGTAAGAAATCTGATTATTCGAAGTTATTGTGAGGAAGAACTACGCAGTTTTGCTATTGCTTTTCTTTAATAGAAAACAGACTGTGTACGACGGTGAGCTCTACGTCAGCATCCGCAAGGTAGCAACGAATGTTCCATCCAATCACCAACCTGGCTGGCTGGTCTTGACTGAGCCTCGCTACGTCTGGGGACGACTGCATCATGTCCTTCAGCTAAAACAGCCAAGCAGCCTTCCCTGCCCCTACTCACCTAGATAGCCTGCCTGGAGGAGGAGGCCCAATCCCTGCTCCTTCGTCCCCTGATCCTCCTCTTAAATGCCCCCGTCCCCTCAGCTGGGTTTCAGGACTTACCCCCTGTAGGGAATGTGGGTGGGAAACCCCAGACCAAGAGGGGCTGCTGGATGCTCCTTGGACAGTCAGTACCACCAGAGACACACAAACTCTCCTGCACATGCAAGGGCCCTCTTGTGAGGGGCTGGGTGTGGATGGGCATGTGGGGCAGGCAACACCTGTCTGGCGTTCTGCATAGCAGGAGATCAGCAAGCAGAGCCCTGGCCGTCATTCTCCTTGGCACAGTCCCTGGCTTTGCTCCAGCCTCCTAAGTCCACGCTCTAGCTTGCGTCCCCCGACCCGCCAACTCACCTGCAGGACATAACTGGCAGCAACGGCCGGCGAACCTATACTCATCAGGCCTGCAGGACTCGGGGTCAGAGAGCTGCATGGCGTCTTCTTCAGTTGTGGCAGTCAGTCTCAGCTGGAAAGGAAGAGGAAACATGTTATTAAAAGCTCATGTTTAGGGGCCGGCTGGTGGTGCGGAGGATAAAGGTGCTGGATTCCCACAAGACTGACTGACTGTGGTTTGAGTCCTGGGCCTGGCAGCTTGCTTTCTCACTTTCTCTCTCTCTTTCTCTCTCGCTCGTTCTCTCCCTCTCTGGTCAAATTAAAATAAATAAATAAAAGTTAAATAAAATAATGCTTAAAAAATAGCTCATGTTTACTGAGTATTTTCCAAGCCAGTAAGCTTTAAACTTTTTCATAGGCAATAAAAATCCTTTCATATTCTCTCTTAAATTACATTTAAAAATGTTTATCAACTTATTTTCTCCACAAGTTAAGGGAGATAGAAACAGATAGACAGATGGGACCAGCAGTTGGTATAATGGCTATGGCGCTGGACTCCCATGTAGTCGACCGCAGTTCAAGTCCCAGACCTGGTGACTCTTAGAAGAAATAATAAAGATAAATCTTTGGGGGGGTCAGCAGATGGCATAGTGGTTACATCATTGGACTCCCACATGGCTGACTGTGGTTCGGTCTCAGATGGATGGCTTGAAAATCACGCTGGGCACGTGTGTGTGCCCAAGATCCCAGGAGAATGAAGAAGGGATTGCAGGGTGGCCATCCCTACTGGGGAGTGATTTCTCACTTTCCCTCTCACTGTCTCTGTATGTCTGTCTCTCTGGTGAGTGCATGCACTGTAACGCAAAAACTTCTAAAAAATTAAAAAAAAAAAAAAAAGACAAAAGTTGAATTTAACAATGGATTCTCAGATACCACACTAAAGGCAGGAATAACCAAAGGAAAAAAATAGATAAATTAGGCTTTGTCAACATTTAAAATTTTTGTGAATGAAGGACATTATCAAGAATATTGAGGCACCAGCAGTTAGCGTAATGGCTATGTCACTGGACTCCCACGTAGTCGACCGTGGTTTGCATTCCAGACCCGGTGGCTTAAACTCATGCCGGACGCATATGCGTGTGGGCCCAAGATCCCGAGAGGAGAATGGAGGAGAAGGGATTGCGGCATGGCCATCTACCCTGTGGTGTGATTTCTCATTTTCTGTCTCTCTGTCTTTCTGGCAAGCGCACGCGCCCAATAGCAAAAAAAAAAAAAAAAAAAAAAAAAAAAAAAAAAAAAACCCCAAACAAACAAACAAAAAAAACAAAAAAAACACAAACTCTCCCCCCTACAAAAAGGGATATGATAAGACTAGGACCACCACCAGATGGTGTAAGGTTATGTCGGTGGACTCCCAGGTAGTAGACTGTGGTCTGAGTCATGGACCTGGCGGCTTAAAACTCACACCAGGTGCGTGTGCACGTGAGTGCCCAAAATCCTGAGAGGAGAATGGAGGAGAAGGGATTATGGAGTGGCCATTCTTCCTGGGAGGTGATTTCTCACTTTCTGTCTCTTTCACACCCTATACCAAAAATCTCCCTTTAAAAAAAAATAAAGAATGTGATATACTAAGAGAATGTGAGAAAATATTTGTAAATCAGGTATTTTTTTAAAGAATAATTTATTTGGGACCAGCAGATGGCATAATGATTATGTCACTGGCCTCACTCATAGTTAGCGTGGTTTGAGTCCTGGACCCAGTGGCTTAGACTCTGGCCAAGCACTTGTGCGTGCGTGCCCAAGATCCCAAGAGGAGAATGGAGAAGGGATTGTAGTGTGGCCATCCCGCAGGGGGGTAATTTCTCACTTTCTGTCTCTCTGGCAAGTGCATGTGCCCTATAGCAAAAATCTTTCTATAAAATTAAAAAATAAAGAATCATTTAATTTCATTTATTATTATTTTTAAATTTGAACAGAGAGAGACAGTGAGAGAAAGGAAAAGTAAGAAAGCAAGTCATCAGCTTCAAGACTTGAACTTCAGCCAGCCACGTGGGAGTCCAGTGCCTTAACCACCACACCACTCGGCCCCATATACTGGCCCCTTAAATCATGTATTTAAACAGGATCTAGTATCCAGAATACACCAAAAAACTCTTACAACTCAATAAAAAGACAAACAACCCAATTCACAACAAAGGCCTTGAACAGACATTTCTCCATAGAGGATATACGATTGTCCAATAAGCACTGGAAAAGATGTTTGTCATTAGATAGTAGAGAAATACAAATCAGACCACCATGAGCTAATACTTCACATCATGATGATGGCCACAATAATAACCTAAAATAAAACAAGTGTTGACAAAGATGTGGAGAAATTGGGGAACCAGCCACTGGTGTAATGGCTATGTCACTGGACTCCCATGTAGTCGACCGTGGTTCAAGTCCCGGACCCGGTGGCTTAAAACTCACGCCGAGCACGTGTGCGTGCGTGCCCAAGATTCTGAGAGGAGAATGAAGGAGAAGGGATTGCAGCGTGACCATCCCTCCTGGGGGGGTGATTTCTCACTTTCTGTCTCTCTGTCTCTCTCTGTCTTCTTGGTGAGTGCCTGCGCCCTGTAGCAAAACCCTCTCCAAAAAGAAAAAAAAATGATGTGGAGAAATCGGAACTCTTGATTGTGAGGATAAAATTTCTCAGCTACATAAACCAGTTAGAGGGGCTGGCAGATGGCGTGGTGGTTAAGGACTGTGGACTCTTACATGGTCGACTGTGGTTCAAGTCTGGACCTGGCGGTTTGCTTTCTCACTTTCCCTCTGTCCCTCTCTGGTCAAATTAAAATACATAAGTAAATAAAGTTAAATAAAATAACTACAAAAAGAAAGAAAGAAAGAAACCAGTTAGATAGGTTTCCTTAAAGAGGAAAACACTGGGGGCCAAGCAGGTGGTGTGGTAGTTAAGGGTGCTGGACTCCTACATGGCCGATTGTGGTTCGAGTCCTGGCTTACTTTCTCACTTTCTCTCTCCTGCTCTTGCTTTTGCTCTGTCCCTCTCTGGTCAAAAATGTAAAAATAAATAAATAAAGTTAAATAAAATAATTTTTTAAAAAAGAGGAAAACATTGAATATTGAATCACTATGCCACCCAGCAGTTCCACTCTAGGGTATATACCCAGGAACACACAAACAAAAAGACAGCGACAAAACCATTGCAATGTTTGCACACAGCACCTACACCCGAATATTCACAGCAGTGCCAAGCATAATAGCTCCAAGCACAAACAATCCAAATATTCTGTTGTATAGATATATCAGATTTGTTTGTCCATTTATCACACCTGTGAAGGTGCAAAAGGACACTGAATGATTCCCTTTAACATGGCTGATTTTATGTAATGCAACTTTTACCTCAATACTTTTTTTTTTTTTAACAGACTGAAGACCTAAATACGAGTGTAAAGTATAGAACTCTCAGATGGAAATACAGGGGTCGACCTTTATGACCTTGCCTCTGGCAATGGACTCTTAGATTATGACACCAAAGGCAGGAGCCACGGGAGCCACCGGAGTTTCATTTGTAATAGTCCAGATCGGAATGACCCGGATATCCATCAACAGGGAAACAAACAAAGCCTGGTCCGTCCACACAGGGTGGGGTTGGGGGAAGGTGTGAATCTCAGTGACTATGGAGTGAAGAGCACTGAAGGGTTCCATCTACACAAAACTCTAGAAAGGGCAAACCAGCCTCTAGGGAGACATAGCAGGAGGCTGGATGCCTGTAGATAAGAGAGGAGGGAGGGATCTTAAGTGGGCAGGAGACATTTTTGGGGGTGATGGACGTGTGACAGTAAGCCAGGTGACAGTTTCAGGACCATCTCTGTATGTCAATACTGCCTATGCTGCACGTTGCATGCAAACTGACTCCCGATAAAACTAACACAATACCTCCTCAATTAAAAAATGGTCTTTCAGTGAAGAGTACTTCAAATGCAAGAAATGAAGAGATAATAAAAATTGGCTTACAGAAAAAAAAAAAAAAAAAGACCTACAGATGGCGTAGTGGTTATATCACTGGGAGCCCCATGGTCGATCCCAGTTTGAGTCCCAGACCCAGCAGCTTAAACCTCACGGCAAGCATGTGTGCACGCCCAAAATCTCAAGAGGAGAATTGGAGGAGAAGGGATTGCAGTGTGGCCATCTCCCCCTAGGGGTGATTTCTCGCTTTCTGTGTCTCTGTCTCTCTCTGCTTCTCAGACAGGTGCACGTGTGCTATAGTGAAAAAAATTTCTCGGGACCAGCAGTTGGCATAATGGCTATGTTGCTGGACTCCCACGTAGTCGACTGAGGTTTGAGTCCTGGATCCGGTGGCTTAAACTCACTCCGGGCGCGTGTGTGTGCATGCCCCAGATCCTGAGAGAAGAATGGAAGAGAAGAATTGCGGTGTGGCCATCCCCTCGGGGGGTGATTTCTTGCTTTCTGTCTCTGTCTTTCTGGAGAGCACACAATGCCCTATAGCAAAAAACCTCTCCAAAAATAAAGACAAAAACAAAAATCTTTCTCTAAAATAAAGGCCTCTCAGGGTCAGCAGGTAGTGTGATAATTAAGGTGCTGGCCTCTCACATGGCCCACTGCAGTTTGAGTCTGGGACCCGGGAGCTTGAAAATCACCCTAGGCTTGTGTGCGTTGGTGCCCAAAATCCTGAGAGGAAAATGGAGAAAGGATTGTGGCTGGCCATTGGCCAGGGTGATTTCTCACTTTCCCTCTCACTGTCTCTCTCCAGCTAGTGCAAGTGCCCATGGCAAAAACAACAACAAAAGATGAGACAACACAAAAAAGGTCTCTCACTAAATTTGCATTTTTTAGGAAGAATGAAGGAAATAAAGATTAAAACTCCAACAGAAAGCAACAGTTGAAAACTAAGTTCTGACAGAATAAGCCTGCTTCCCACCCTCCTCTACAACGAACCCAACTTCACAGCAGCGCGGGCCGGCTACCACTTGACCACTGTTCAGCAAAGCTCCGCGTCGCAGTCGCCCGCGATGGCCACTGTTCTACTCTGTCCTTGGAGCACATGGGACAGCAACTCACCGGGTAGAACGGAAAAACTCCTGTCGTGCCCCTTCCTGGGCTGCCCCGGGGCATTTCGCCCGTCCTGGGCGTTCAGCCTTCCCTGAGATCCGGCATGGTGTAGGGGTGGGGATGGGGGCGGCGGGGAGGTGGAATCCGGCATTGTGTAGGGGTGGGGATGGGGGCGGCGGGGAGGTGGAAATGCCCGGCGTGGGGTGGTCAGCAATTTCCCGCCGCCGCCGCTTCGGGACGGAGTGCTGGGGCCGGAACGAGGCCGGGTTTCCCTTGCACTCCAGAACTGAAACTTCGTTGAGTCTATAGGGCCGGTCCTGCAGGCTGCGCCCG